ATCCTTGATGAACACTAAGTATTACTTTTGATTCATGTAGTGTATTTTTGGTTCTAGTCAGGGAATGTGGATCTATAGATATCAATTTTGTTTAATCCGTTTGTCGTTGCAGCAATATATTTGGCTATAGTTGTTGCAAAACTTGGATATTTCTACTCTTTCAACTTACCTTTTAATCTGCATTCTGTACGCAGAGACTGCGGCAAGGGACTCACTAGAGCAAGTTATTTCTGAGGCACTTGTACAATCGGGTTCAGACAAATCAATTGTTCGTGGTGTATGTTTAGGTGTTTCAGGTGTAAATCATCCCTCAGACCAAGAAAAGATAGAAAATTGGATAAGGTGTTAGTTATGTAATCATGGTTATAGGAGTTAGAGGTGTAAGTCAATCTCGATCTTACCTTCTTCTCAAAATGTTTTTTTTTCAGGGATATGTTCCCTAGTCATGTGAAGGTATATGTTCAGAATGATGCTATTGTGGCTTTAGCTAGTGGAACCATGGGAAAGCTCCATGGCTGTGTTCTAATTGCCGGTACAGGATGCATAGCCTATGGCTTCGACGAAGATGGCAGGGAGGCTAGAGCATCTGGTGCTGGACCAATCTTAGGGGATTGGGGAAGGTAGTTTTTTTTAATTCTTCGTCTGTTTAAGTCGATTTTATATCACATCCTCCGATCCGGTGCGGTTTCTTTTATCGTCAGTTCAGTCTCATATTGAACGAAGAAAGAGTTCCAACTTTAATGTTTCAGAGATGCATGAGTCAAAATTGTGATTGCAGCTATAAACTGTGTCATTACATATATATTGGAAATACACTTATAATATTTGGTGACGCTTAACCGATGATTATTTGAATGATGTGGTGATAATTTACAGTGGCTATGGAATTGCTGCACAGGCCTTGACAGCGGTCATTAGAGCTCATGATGGTCGTGGTCCACAAACAATGCTAACAAGTACCATCCTCAAAGTACTTGGTCTTTCCTCTCCAGATGAACTCATCGGGTACCTTCTTTTTCAAACTAATGACTTAGTCTTCATTCTTAAAACATGTGGCTTTAAAATTTCTTGGGAGACAAAACCCCCGACACATCAAAATGCTAGCCTGATGTTTCTGGATGTAGTTGGACTTACGCAGATCCATCTTGGGCACGTATCGCTGCTCTTGTTCCTCAAGTAGTATCTTGTGCAGAAGCCGGTGATAAAATTTCAGACAAGATCTTGGTTGATGCAGCTGAGGACTTAGCTCTTAGTGTGAAAGCTGTTGTAAAGAGACTTGGTTTATGTGGCGAAGGTGATTTTACATATCCAACAGACTTCGTTTCTTCTTCTTTTTTCTCGCCACTCTTTCTTTATAAGTGTCTGCTTTTTCCCGTTGCAGATGGGACAGCTTCTTTCCCAGTTGTAATGGTGGGCGGTGTTCTAAACGCCAAACGGAAATGGGACATTGGAAAAGAAGTCTCAAAGCACATCAACCAATATTTTCCCGGGGCTGAGACTATCATACCAAAGGTTAAGATTCTAATTCTCATTCCTTAG